TACCTCAAAGAAAGTCCTGACCGAGACTGCGTAAGTCCATAAGTCCGTAGACAATTATGATTAAGATAATGAGATATGAGTTTGTAAGCATATAAGTCAAGTTACGAAACCACTTATCCTAGCCTCTCGGTATAGGGTCATTAATATTTAACCCTCTAAGGAAGGACATGACTGGGGCTGCGTAATTTGGCACGTCTGGTTTGGTTGATGAGCTTAATCTAACATATTGGACGAGTGTGAGGAAGTTAGAACCATCACCGAGCAGACAAATTGAGTCGCCTTCTTTTTGACCGCGGCTCAACACCCTCTCTCTCAAATAGAACCATCCGAGCATTTATAACTAGACAGACTGAGCAACGCAATAGGTTGGAGTTAAAAATGACGCAGAACAAAGATAGGTGTATGAACTTGGTGAATAAACAAGATGAGTTAAGTCCTTTAAAGTAAAGTCCTCTAATGGTTACACAGATAAACTCGAAGCAAACAAATGCTAGCTCCAATAGATAAGTTTAAAAAAATGTCACAAAACACTCGTAAAAACTGGGCTTCAAGGAATCCCTAATAGAATGATATGGTAACATTCCAGGATCAAAGGTATGTGTGTAAAGGGAGGATGAAGCTGTTCGGTCACAATTGCATCCGTTCCACGCTTAATCTGCAGCCACTGAACTTAACTTTTCAGCAAACATTTAGGCAAAGCATAGTATATCCAACCAAAACATGAGATGTCTAATTAAGTGGACCAAATTGGACTACAAGAAGTAGGTAGGTTTGAAGCCGACCACATTTTTTGCATTCGTGTCTTGGTGAATTATGGTTAAACAAAGTGCCCTGCTCTGAAGATGTCCGTCACATGACGGACAAAAGCTTAGCAAGGATTCCTCGGGGGCCGCAGAGCGGTGTGCCGAGGACCTATTCACATAAATCTATAATCACAAATGCAAGGCAATTCCACTTCAGCTTCCGGTGGGGCCGACTTACGAATCCCTTCCACTCGCCTCTTCAAACAAAATTAAAGATATCCAACATTGCTCAGAAACAAAGTCTAGTGATCAAAAATTAAAATATTAATTTTCCATAAGTACAAAAGTTATATTTACATGAGGAAAACTTACATGAGATGATGGCGGCATCATGCGGTGAGACATGGACAACGTGCTGCATATTGGATGGTGGTGATATCAGTGGCGTTCCATTCTTCAACCAGGATCTGGGTTGCTTCCGTGACACGCTACCACCTAGGGAAGCTTGAGATGATGAAGATTGCAAAGAACGGTAGGAGAAACTGGCGTGATCATCACCTACTAAAAAGCGTAACAAAGAAAATTAAAGGAATGGAATGACAATATGTTAATAAAGGAAGGAGGACCGAAAAGTGAAAAGTAGAATGTACATATACGTTCAACAATAACCCCTACAAAATCCGTAAGTTATGTCATCACAATCGACAGAAATGTATAAACTGAATTAGGATAGGTAACGGAGGTATAGTGGTTGATAGGAAAAATAAGGATTTAAGGAAAAGCTTTTCAAATCCAAACATAAATCTAGCAAAAAACCGCATCCAGTCACACAAATAGGAAATTTTTCCTTCAGAAATAAAAAGAGGCATGTATACATTTATTTATTTTAAAATAAATAAGTGATTGAATGGTTCTTATCATGAAGGATATAATAACAAAGTGGTCAGGAATGAACTGTAGATCAGCCTCAAGATAAATCCACAATAATCGAACCAAAGTATAAATTTCTTTAGTCAGAGTAAATTGAAAATTATCACAATTATCAATAGCATTTGCATAAGGACTCGAGTCACCGTGGGTCGTTTAAGGTGATGTAAGGCCTAATAAGTTAAACGAAGTCGACATATAATAACGTCATCGTTTGTAATGATATATACAAGTTCGCCTTGTAGACGACACTCTCCATTATGTCATATTGGAAAGACCTGGCTCACCTTGAATGCAAAACATGTCCTGTGAACTATTGGCAATTTTGGTTGCGAAAGGGAGTGAAGAGGTTTCCGCTTAATATGCAATACCCGATTTCGAATGCCGCTGAGGGTGAGAATGAGACCAAGGCAAGATCAAAACCTCAATTCATCCTGTACGAGAAAGCCTTTTGGGAGGCAAGGCTAAACGAAATTCAATAGCATTGTGAAGACTACACATTTCCTAGAGGAATTCAAACATCAGTCAATATATCACTTAAAGGAACATAAGTACGAGTCGTTCAAGGGACAAGAAGGAAATTAATGCAAAATTTAGCGCAAAATAAGTTAAAAAGCGCTTCCCAAGGAAATACCAAAATTGTACGATGGACATCATCAGAGCTAGGACTCATTCTCGTCTTAGTGATAACTTGAGAATTTTACCAAAATCATATATATAATAGAAGAAAATAGGGCAATTTCTTAGTAATATTGACGAAGAATTTAGTCATCCAATTTATTTTCAGGTCCCCCAAAAAGCTAAAATCAAATTCCATTATCTCTTTCATGATATATTGAAAACGGCAGTTTGCGATTACCAAAATATGAGCATTATAAAAGATAATAGGGTTTTATAAGACCTACGTGAAGTAAATGTGGTGAAATTGTTGCTGCTGCTATTGATAGTATTACTGCTGTTGGATGCATTTTCTGAGCCATTTGCCATATTAGCAGCCGTTGCAGCCTGGAGATGTTGAAAGTGAGGATGCCTGGCGATCACGGCTGATTGACTGATGCAAGAGAATTCTGATGGTCCAACTAAGGGTATTCGGTTGCCCCCTGTCGCCAGTGCTACCGAATTGTGTGAAACTGGTGTACCATAAGTACTAAGGGGTACGGTTCCTTGAGATTGTGCCATATTGACACTCACAGAGCCGGTCACGTCTGAAGCCTGTGTCGCCAGCGAGCCGGCGACACCAGTGGATG